TCTGCGATGTATGTTGCCCAATCAGAGTGCATTACTAAATCCAATAATTGACTGAAATTATATGTTTCTGTTTCTTCATCCATTATAATTATTCTTTACCGCAAATGTACAAACGTCATAGCTAAAGCGTTCTTTTCAAAACCTTCAACGGGAGCTTGCATTGTGAACATTTCACATTGCATGACATCTAAGCTGAATTGTTCAAGAGCACCTGGGGAAACAGCTTGAACGTCTGGTTGGAGTACCGTATCAGAAAGTCGATCTGACAAATGCTTGCATGTCTATAATATGTGTTGATATAGAATACAGAATGAGATCAACCAACCTGCATACAAACGTGTCGGCTCAAAGACTGAGGCAATACAGCAAAAGTACTGAAGGTGGTGGATAAAAATTTAATGAGATCAGTTATGTGATCGGAAGCTTGTCCTATAACAAATTCGAACTTGGTGAGAGTCTAAGTGGGCTATAATACCTGAAGAAGCTGGAAGTTCCCAATCATATCTACCAAGCTCGAGTATTTCGTCAATCTTATCCCGAATACACTCTTCAATTAATTGTTCAACCTAATGACTACGATAATAAAGATTTTATATATGGTCTTGCCTCAATTCTTGAATCACTTAAAACTCTTTCGGAAATAGAGAGTTGATGACTGGTCGTTGTCATAGTACCTTCGGCACCAGTTGTTAGTGCAGTTACATATGTTCCCAAAGATTTGCAAGCCTTTTCGAGGTAGCTGATATTAATGGTCAACTGGATGAGCTGAACAAAAATGTTATTCAAGATATCGTTTCTTTTTAACTACCGTGGCAAGAGATTTTTGGCGAGCAGCAAAGTCTTTGATACTGCCTGACCACCGAGAAAGAAGAACGTTCGCATATCTAGGAATTCTTCTGTTTACACGAAAATACTTTTTTCACATACCTGCGAACTGTGTCATCTATTTCTGACTGAGTTAACTGAAGATGCTCCATAAAGCGCATGCATCCTACTAAGTATGATTTCGCTTGAGTATATACATTGACTACAAGGTTGGAGAAGGGGAAATAACGGGGATACGAACTCTGAAACAGATAAATTATCGGATTACTGCGATTTGAAATACATTTTCAAGAGAACGCTTGTTCAACGGGAACAATTTCACAATATTATTGAATTCTTTCTCATTCTCAGCAATCAATGAAGTATAGTTATCGGACACAAGTTCTTTTTCAAACTGTGCACAATACTCGCTCATGAGAATTTCGTTGTATTGATCTCTGAAAATTTATTTTTTTTGTTGTCTTTTTCGTTTACCTGAAGTTCTGGAGAAGAAGATATAGAGGAGAAATGACAAAGGAATATGATTTCATTGTTAAAGCAAAGAGGAGAATGACTTTTTTTATTCTCAACATCATCTCGACATCTGGGCATCCTCCCTGAAATATATGTTATGAGAATGTCCTATTAAGCTGACCCTTACAAATCTTGTGTTCATGGTGTTTATAACTTTTTTCAGAGCTTCATCCCAAAGTTGATTTTTATGTGAATTGGCAGCTAATGATGTTTCTGTCATGGATATATGATCCTCGACCACAAAGAACCCAATAATCTCATTCAAATAGTCAACGTAGCTTTTCAGTGACGACATCTATAGAATCCTTACAATGCTTACATTTTCAAATGAGTTCAAAAACCTTTGTTGGTGGTTCAATAACAACTTGGCATTGTTCCTTTCTTTGTAGTCGGAAGTACTGTTCAAACTCTTCCTTGTTTCCCAACACAGTGAATATCTGACAGCATCTGTTAACATAGCGTTTAGCTTCAACATTTTGCTTTTTCTAATACCTATGTATAGGAGTATAATCAATAAGGTCTTGTGCGGAAAGAGCTTCAGCATCCTATAATAATATAACATTATGTTTATATAATCATGCGATAGTTAGTCATACCCATCCTTTCGTCGGTGATTTACTTTTAATTGAATGCTTTTCCTGTTTCCTGATTATACTTCCATCTGACGATATAGCAATTTCCACCTCTGGTCTATCCGTTTTATGATCGAGTTTGCCTTTTTCCGGCTCTCCACCGAATGAATGTTGTCTTGCAATCTGAACATACAGATGAAATTTCAAAATTAAACGAGATAATCACATCGCGACTTGCATGCCGACCAACTCGACCTGCCACTTTCTTGATATGCTCCAAAAAATCTTTGAACTCAGAGTAAGCTTCCTGCTTAATTTGTTGACGGATAGGCCCCATGCTATTAGCCAAAGTTTGAGTAAATCGATATTTCTCTGATAAAGCCAAGTGTGTATGATCTAATTCTTCCAATACTTTCAAAGCTTGATAATATCTGAAAAAATCAAAATTATCTGAGCATCATATATATTTATTGGTATATTACTTCTTTTCTGACATCAACTCATAGAGTTTGGCATAATTTTCAAGCATAGGAAGGCAGCTTGATACTTGGTACATAGCTGTTGTAGCATTCTTGATTAACTTCCTGTTAAGTATGATAAGATATTGACTAGCTGATATATAACTCTTACCTATATTTTAGAATTTCTTGATTCTTCTTGGC